AGAATGCCAGAAGATATGCCAGATAGAATGACAGATAGTATGCCAGACAAAATGCCAGAAGATATGCCAGATAGAATGCCAGGTAGATGCCAGGTGGGGATCACTCGAAGTAAAGTAATGGATTAAAGTTAGAAGAGTGACTGTCACTTGCGGCTTTTGGGTTAAGAACAAAAAACTCCACTAGACAGACTGCAAGAGGCTTGTCACTTTATGTCAAGATGCGTGATTGCGCATATCGATGTCCAGTGTTCTTTCAGCACCAACTTCAACATCTAGCAGGAGTAGTCAAGAGCAAAGTTTGAGTATCATGTGTCTGCTTTGCTCCAAATTCTGAGGGCGATGCAAGCTGGCAAAACCAGCAGGACTACCAGCGCAATCACTCCCTAGTAGCGAGGTCGCCAGTGCACACTCTGCTTCACCCAACGACGAATCTACGAGTCCCCTGTGACGTCGCTCGATTTCAAGTGATCGCTTTCAAAGAAAAAGGGTCAAAAGGACTGACTCGACTCATACTTAGTGCTTGGATGTATTTGGTAGGTCCAAGATGTTGCACGAGTGCTTTGTCACCCAAGTTCCGTCGATCGCCCTTTTCACTCCTTGCGCTCCGTGACGCGGTGCCCGTTTTGGACGGGCCCCGCAGCGCTTAGCATCCCGCGCCTTTGAGACGTCTACAAGCTGCGTGATACAGAACACTTCGCTGCTCAAAGCTGGGCGCGACCACACCGCCGCCCGCACGGTCCGCACGGCGCAAAGCGCGTCGCGTGCGGCGGGAACTCGAGGGGCGGTCTTCGGGGCGGTCTGGAGTTTGGCCTCGTGCCTTGGGCAGCGAGGTCAAAACACTCTCACTGCTGCTTTTCTGTAAAAGCTTCCGGGTGTTGGGATCTGAAGGCCCACCATCACTGTTCAAGAGCAACTTCATCATCGGAGAGGTGCGGAACTCTCGAGCGATGGTGCGTGTGGCCGGAGTCAAGCCATGCTTCATCTGGTTGATGTGCAGCTTCCTCCAAAGGCGAATAGCCTCTAAAGAACTGTCCAAGGATCCAAAGTTGGCAGAAGCACAATCTGGATCGAACAACCCCATGATGGTGACATTAATGTGGGTCACTAGCTGCTGCGAGGCCTCTTCACCATGGTCCGTGTCATTCAAAAATCTCAAGTATTGCAAGCGCAAGACCCTTTCGATGCCCCATTTCAGGAAGAGCAAAAAGACTGGAACGCAGAAGCCACTCGTCGCTGGACCACTCGTCGCTTTGATGCTTGGAGAATCATTGAGCTTGGACCAAACCTCCTGCATGGTGAGGACCAGCGACTGGCGTGTACTGCTGGGGAGCTGTGCCTTGTGGAGGTGCCCCAATGCATTCCAGTAGACCAAGTGTGAAGCCAAACCAATCAAGCGGGAAAGCTCTTCAGATTGTAGGCACTGTCGAATGCCATCAAAGAAGAGCGGATCCCGGCGTGTCGACAGGAGTTCCAAAGGAAAGAAGTTCTCTGCATAGTCAGTGGCCTCCTCTCGAATACGCTCCAAGGTGATAGAGACCGGTCGTTGCAGGTCAGCGACAAAATCCTGGGGAACTGCTAGTGTCTGCAACTGGGACCAAACAGAAATGCCATGGCGAGTCTCACATGCGAAAGGTAAAATAAATTTGCTCTTGAGACCGTCCAGTTCCCTGAAGCCTTCTTTGCCCCATTGCCGAAGTACCTCTCGCTTATGGATGATACGCTCTTCTCCCTTGGCATGGCTTTGAAAGTCTTCTAACTCCTTGGTCAGGGCACTATCAGCACCCTTGGAGTTCTTCTGATCTTGCAACCTCATCTCAGAGAAAGCTTGCAAGTACCTCTCCTCGACTCCGTAGCCTTTCTGCTTGGTACTTCTAGGCTTTTTGGTTTTCTCATAAATCCCCGACGTGTCTGGAGGCAAGGCCCAAATCATCGGATCCTGCTGCACCTCGCTCCACAGCGGACCCCGCAGCCCGGAACCGAGTCCCTCGTGGCTGCCCCGCCCCGTCTGCGGAGGCAAGATGCGCAGTTGGTCGCACACTCCAGAGCCATGGGATTCCCAGGTGGCCTCGATGGTGCATTTTTGCAAAGGGGCCCGCAAAGCAACCACTTTGCGATGTCGATCCAAAGGTTCAATGCCCAGTGCCTCAAGATACTGGCTGGTATAAGCACCATGAACAGCTTTGTAGTAATCAACTGGTGCTCCCAGCTGCTTTGGAGGAATCTTGCCCAGGAGGATATTGATCTCCATCAGCTCCAACCTTTTGTTGACTTCAAGCTAGCGAAGCAAAAAAGAATGCGATCCACAATATTGAGTGCCACACATTAGGCGGCTGCTTTGGCGGATGCACTTGTTTTCGGCGATTTCTTGAGAAGACTTTGCTGCGAAGCGAGGCTTAGCCACCTTTCTGATTCATGTCGGGCGTAAGATACCCACATCCAAGGTACAGTACCCAGCAAACACAATGGAGCACTGGCCTCCAGGCCCCAGCAGGGCCAAAACGCGGCCTGGCAACTCAAAGCTTCGCAAACGAGGCTCGAGAAAACAGTTTGTTGCCTCAAAAGAACCAGTTGGTGGATCTCCTGCTTAGACCAAAACGACAAGTGACGGTCGGTGCATGAAGTCCAGTCGCCATGTAGAGGAAGATCATCTTGAACACCAACCCGTGTCAGCGTTCATGGTTAAGATATTCCCATATTCTCTGTTGCAAAGGACTTTTATAATATTCTTACAGTAACTCTCATTGCTTCCATCAATCCCAACCTCCCAGTCGTAGAGCACATCGGTTGAATTGTCCACCTTTGGAGAAGGGAAGCAAGGAAGCACGCACTCAATCCAAACATCGTTTCTGGCATTCTGATTGCTTGATATGGTTTCTTCTGTCATTCATGAAGGAAAGCGGTTGTTTGAGCCTTCATCGAGATGGACACGACCAGCACAAAGGACAAGAAGCGACCCAAATCCGAGAAGAGGCTGCTGACCACGTTGCAGCCCTGGCCCAAAAGAAGCCCCCCGATTGGGAAGTTGTCAGCATCTCTACTAGTCCATCCGCCAGTTACACTCCCTGAAACAATCGTGGAAAACCTCCCGTGTGCACTTATGGACACTAAGCGGCGCAAAGATCTTGGAGCAGTGTTGTTCTAAGCGGAGCAGGTTGTTCGTTCAAGGTGTCCGTTCTACTTCCTCGTCGGTGAAAAGGTCAGGAGCTGAAGCTGCTTCATACTTGCAAATCGAGCACTAGCTACTCCCTGTTGATTTGGAAACATCCCAGGTTCGCTGGAGTCTCGGGTGCCTATGGCTGTTGATTTTCCCTGGGCGTTCACTGCAACACATCGTCACTTCTCTTTAAATGGTTTATTCATGTTTATTGTAAAATATATGAAAAGCCTGTAGCAAGCCCAATCAACGGCCATTGCCGGTGCCTCTGCTCGATCAGTGTCCTGCCGAAAAAGGGGTGCGAAAACATCAGGGATGGTCGGTGCGTTCCAAAATGTTCCACAGATCTGTGAGGGTGACTTGCCAAAAATCTCCGTGTCATGCTGTGCTCGCTTACTTTGGGTTCCACTGCTTCGAAAACATGTTACAACCCCAAAGCTTGGAACTCAGCCTTCGATACCCCCATGGTCTCGACCAGCTTGGCCGTGCGAAAAGAAAGTTCACGGATCCTTTGAATCTCCCTCCTAAGAAACATCCAAAAGCAACCCACAAAGTTGCTGGCTACTACTACGAAGTTGGGGTCATTGGAGTGTAGATGTAGCTGTGATCAGACTTCCAGAGTTTCTCCTCCACTGGTACGAAGTGTCCAAGGATGAAATGGAGCATGTAGCCAACTGCGTACCTGGAATGGCTTCTTTGCGCAAGCAAAGAAGCCACTTCATGCTGGCTGTCCATCTGGGGCACGGTAGCATCACCAACTTCAGGGTAAGGTATCTTTGTACTCCCTTGAACATCAAGTAGATGCAAAGCAGGACCTGGCAGCGTCTTCCAAACAAGTGACAATTACTAGAACAAAAGCGTGGCACCCCAAATTAGTATTGCGCAAAGAAGAACACTTCGGAAATTGAAACAAGTGTCAAGCCTCCCGTTACTTCGTCTTGTATGCTTAGTCGAGATCGAAAGCAGTCGAGCCTTGTAGCCACATTCTGTCACAATCATCAAGCAGTACCTGCTAAGCCAAATGATATCCGGCCCGCGTCCAGCCACCAATGCACAAGACCTTAGCCTGGCCTGCCAAATAGCAAACTCAACCCTTAGTGTGCTTTGAAATTCCTCACCCAGTGCCAGGGCAAATCTTTTTTTCGATGTTCTTGTTTCTGTGGCAAAGACCTGTACAGTGGAGCCTGTGCACACAGCCCCAAACACAGTCATCCTCGGCATGAAACACATCTGGTAACGCACCTGAATTATTGAACAACTTTCCTGCCGGAGGATACTTCTTGGAGGAAGACACAACTTGCCCGTCAATCCAGTGATGTATCTTGCATGTTCTCCATTGTTCTCCTATCTCCAAAACTGCTTGGCTGCTTGAAGCTCGGATCAAGATCGACGGTGAATCCGACCAAACCGGCCGTCAGTCCAAGCCTCGGTGAAACAAGCGGCATTCAACGCAAAACAGGGGCCCAACTGTTAGGGGCAAAGGAGTGACTGAAGGTAGCCATGAAAAGATTGCCGGCTTCTCGAAAGGAAACATAGACATACATCGACTCATTCGATGTGTGATTTTTGGGTTTGGGTTGGGTGCCTCCCTTTCTTCATACAAACCCATCGAGTGGTGCCATGATAGTAGGCACCGATGAGCCTACTTCCCTCAGCCTCGCACCACTTCTCCATGCCCGATGTGCCTGATCGGAGTCTGGATCGTTTTGGAGCCTTTCTTGGGGACCAAGAACTCTTTCCCGCGGATATAAAGCAGTTGTTCTTCATCTTGGTGTTCGGATGAGAGACAGGATGCAGACTCGACCATTGAAACCCCGACTGAAAGGATTTTCAGGAGGGGTCATGCACATGAATGGCACATGGGTTGGCTGGCACCTAGATGGTACATTCATGTACATTCATTCTTTATTTCTGAAGCTAGGACATGAATGCATAAAGTTAAAAGATGTTAAAAGTAGTTCATCCATGAAACAAATGGTAGAATATGGTAGACATCCTTGGAACGCCTCATCGCGACAAACATCATGTGACCGGTTGATTGCCTCGTCGCTCAGCTGATCATTGAATTGTCGGTATCGGGATTGCATCGTGGCCTGACTCGAAGTCTGAAATCTCGAGTTGAAGCTTTTCTGGAACGAATGATTTGCCAGTTTTGGGAGTTACAAAGATTTGGGAACGATTTGCAGCTGGTTTATGCTGGTTTGAACATTACAGCAAGTGGATATAAGTGGATAGAATATGATGACTCAGAGTGCATCTTGGGAGGGTGTACTTCTGAATACAGATTCTCTACAGTGTTCTTATAGAAACACCACAAAGGTTTCGCAGTTTGCCAATGCATCCCCAGAGGTCGTTGCGCGCGGAAAGGTGTGCACGTGGTCGTGCCTTGCTGTAAGGTTCTCTAGGTTCAAGGTGGAGCAAAGCTGGCCAGTGCTATGCGACAACGATGACAACGTTGTTTAGCCCTTTTTGCGTCAACGCGCTTCGGACCGACAGGGCAGGGGCATCGCGCATCGCTCAGCGCATCGCCGTCGAGCACTGGTTCAACCCATCTGCAGATGGCATGCTTTGCAGCCTTATGAGGGCTTATGGCCTCAAAAATGCTTCCAATGCACCCGGAACGTCCTCTTCAGGAGCCTCAGGACTGTAAAGAGTTTGATTTTGTCCCAAACTACTTCTACGTCACTTGTGAGATGCTAGAAGCCTGACCCAAACCAATCTAAGAGGGATTCATCTGGCTTATAGGGTGCCATGAAAGCATCTCTGACAACATCTCCTGTTCTCCCCGTGCTTCACGGGCAACCTCTTCCTGAAGTGATGGGCCAAAGGCAAGAATGTGCAGTTGGGGTTTCTGTGACACCAATCCTCCAAAACACCTCACTGGGGGAGTTGGTGGCCCACACCTACAAAATCTAGAACTGTCCAGACCCATTCATCCTTCGGATGTGGGTCCGGGTCGACGATCTGTGTCACTCTTGCGCGCGGCTGCCATAACAATGCGTGCGGGTTTGACGGCGTCGAGCTTTGCGAGCCTGCACCACTAACTCCTCGGATGGATTAAACATGAAACTACAAACACACCAAGGATTTCAACCCAGCTCATTTCGAGAATTGGGAATCAAACATTATAGTCGGTGCAAAGGAATGCAAAGTCCAAAGCAAACATCTACCTGTATCTTGCAGAGCGATCCAGCCTGCTTACGAAGAAATGTGCAATCCGATCAAACCTCACAGTCCAAGCTTCAAAAAATGAAAAACACACACGCAAAAGCAAAAGGCTCTTGACAAGCGTCTGCACACAAAAAGCTGGCCACGTCTGGTGAGGTAAAGTAGCCCAAATGGCTAGGCACCGCCTCAAGACGTCATGTGATGGTAGATTCGGTGAAATCTGTCTGTCGCGGCTCGACTCAACACCCGAGATGGTGGTGATAGAAAGGAACTGTTCTCTTTCAGAGAATCAAGAGCATTGGATGCCAAACTCTCGTTGACACAACCTGGCAGGAACGAAGCCACATGCATCCCTCCAATCCAATTGCAGGCCTGAAATCAAAAGTGCTACTCCTGTTTGGAGCTCTCTCAAAAGGAGACTCACACAAAGACCCCCCTTTTGTACCAGTAACTGAAATAGACCACCCACCCGTTGTGTTCCTCTGCCCATATCTCCATGTTCCTTCGAACCCCCACAAAACTCGACTGCTTCGGCCTATCCACGTGCCACCGTCCCGGTGATGGTTTGGTCCCTCCGGTGCTGTTCGGTGCAACGGAGGGGAAAAGGCCTGCAGTAGCGCCACTGCGGTCGTCACATTGGACTCTTCTTGCAAGACCCAGTCCATGCGCCGCGGAGTCGCCGCCTTGGCCCGGGCCCGGGCTTCCTGGAAAGAAAAGCCATCCAGAGGCACGTAAGTGGCTGACTCAAGAAGAGGGTGATTACATGTGAATAAATTGTATCAATGATGTGATGTAGTTGTTATAAACCATGAACGTATTTTCAACTCCAGGTCCACCCTGTGCTCCAGCATCAGCACACCATCTTTGGAATCCTATTGAATACCCACTCGTTGGAAGGCTTACGGCTTAATAAGTCAGTGAACTCATGTTCACCCTGTGCTCCACCCCACCTACTCAGCTGCCTCTCCTTGGCTTCGGTCCCGGTCCAGGGCCAGGTCCGAGAAAACACCTTGGGGATTCGTTCCGGAGCAATGTCCCGAAAGCGAGCTGAGAAGAGCGGCTCCATGCGATAGGCCACGGGATCCAAGGGGTGGAAAATGTTGTAAAGAGCGATGTCTTTCAGAAATCCAACGGATCTCTCGGTCTGGGTATGTGAGCAATGGATAAAGAGCGCCGTGGGCGAGCCGAGGGTGATCAAGGCTTTGGGTTTAAAGGACAAGGCTTTGTGTGCATTCAGCAGGTCAAAGAAAATCACACCACCCAAGGAATGTCCAATGAGGCTGATATTCCCAGTGAAGCCAGGGTTGTGCCTCCTGATTTGTGCCACCAGCTTCTCCAGTTTCTCATGGATCAGGTCTAAGAGCTTGGTACGATTCTGCATGTAAAAAATCGCATCACTCAATGCACAGTTCGCCACCTCCCGCACCATCCCTAACGAGGGCAACGTGAGATCTTCCAGGCGCGAGTCCATTTCATCCGAATGGAAGCATTGCCACCACTCCAAGGGGATCACATCACACTTCGGTGGACGATCCTCGTTCACCTGACTTAGCGCCTCCCAGCGTTCACCTGACTTGGAGTAGCCAGCCGAAAGGAGAAGACTCTGAAAAAGGCTTTGGCGAAGATCATCAGCAGCACCAGCAAGACCCTGACCCATCTTTTGAGAGAACTTTTCACCTAAGCCATGCGTGAGAATGAAATAATGAGACACAGCCTTGCTGAGCAATTCTTCCTCGGGCTCTCCCAGTTGGGAGGAAATCTCTCCAAATCCTCTCTGAACTTGCACGGAACTTCTGCTGAACCATGAGGATGGTGAACCTTCGAGTTCCGCACCGTCCTCCTCTTGGACCTCGATTTGTCTCGACCAGCCTCGCACTTCAAGGCGGATCTGCCGCTGGCCATCACCCACCGGCACAGTGTGAACTTGCCCAATCACTCCCTTTGTATCCAAAGCAGCCTTCAAAGTCTGATACACCTCTTCCACTTGCTCTGATTCCACTTCATCATACGGCTCCAGACCGGTCTCTGTCTTGCGGTACCACAAGCTCCGCCGCACCGCCCGAACCGACTCGTCCCCATAGCGCTCCAACACCTGTCTCTCGCTGCGGTGCACCTCCCAGCGGCCCCCGTGCACTGGCACCGCGTCGCCCGCGTCGCCCGCGTCGTGCGACGCGGGCGGCGGCGGAAGGGACTCCAGGCGGAGTTGGTCACTCTTCCGGAAGGGAAGCCATCCGCCATCCAGTGTTTGGTAAAGCCAAACGAAATCCATGGTCCAAATGGGGAGGAGACGTGCCAGAGCCTCAACATGGTTCACACACTTGGGCCAGCAAGACTCTTGGAGGATATACGACGATGAAAAATCGCATGTCTCGTGAGCACCACTGGCTGGGATCGCATGTCAAGAGCGATGAGCGGAGCATTTCGGCTGTTAGCGATGGTGGATCTGCATACTTCAGATGTTGGCTACCAAGTCAAGAAGACCTACTCGTTGCTAAGGACACCGTGGCCACCTGAGTTCTGAGCAGTCGAGTCTTCAAAGTCTCGGTCACCGTTGAAGCCTGGGAGATGTTGGGAGTTCCAACCGCCGTGTGAAAAAGAAACTGATGATATTGAGTCTTAATGCATTTAGATATTTAGATGCATTTAGAATAAACTTGAAAGAGCTTGATGCCTGTGGTGTTTCTCGGATTTCCGCCTGCGTTCTTGCCCTTCACCTCCACCTCCTGCCGCGTCATGTCCACACCTAAGCACTGGAGAAACTGTCAAAGACCCGGGCGAAGCACAACCAGTCTGCAACCACTGGGGGTGCCTCATCTTCAAAAATTGATTAAGGGTGGAAGAAAAGTCTACCAATGGGGTATTCCCTTGTATTCTTGCAGAGCATCTTCCAAATGGTCGAAGCTCGGGCGCAGGCCGCAGGTTCGCTCAAAGGAGGTCAGCATGCGCTTGTTGCCCTTCTTGAAGCGATGTCCCACCTCAGATCACGAACGTCTTAGCACTCCATCCGCCTTCCTTCGGCGCCCTCTTCAGGTCTAAAGGTGCAAACAATCTTACCGTGTTTGGGACTTTGCAGCCTTCAACATCCGGCACCGCTACATTCAGACAAAACTTAACTTAACTTACTCCTAACTTCAAAACATGGCGCATGGCATGTCTGTGCGCTCGCCCCCCAATGGCTCCAATCCGACCGGTTTCGACGTCCCCCTCTAGGGACCTGAGGCCACTGAGGCCACCGACACGGCGTCCGATGTCCCAAGGGCTGGCTTCCTCAGTATAAGGCGAGTCGGGTTTCTTGAAAGTCTTGAGGGCTCTCCTCAGATCCTAAAGGGTTCGCAAATCATCTCCCAAAGGCTGGCTAAACTCCTCATTTGCCCGCGTTTGTCACTCTTCGGGGCCTCTCAGAACAAACCTCCACCGACCACCGACCGTGCCTTCACCGCTCTCCGCTCTCCCCCTTCAAACCATCCGGACGCCCCGACCTTGGGCCTCACGGTGGTCCAAAAGACCGGTGTTGGGACCGGCATCTCCAAGATCTCCTACCGCTCCGGTGGGGAGCACCCAGGGCGCGCCAGGGTGCGCCAGGGTGCGCCACGGGCCACGGAGGTTGCCCCGGTCTGTCGATGTTTGGGGGGTCTAAGGTCTTTTGGTCGATGGGAAGAGAGTGGGGGCGCCTGGGGCCCGTTTTCAGATCGATTTCCATCCAAGCAAGTGATCCACAAGGCAACCAGCGCCACAGCGTTGAAACAACTGGAAAAGAGAGGGAATTCTCCCGGACAAAGATAAAAATAACTTTGCCTTTTTTTTTCAATATCCTGTGAGCAAGACCGCTCGGTTGCACAATTGTGTAAGGTTGTGCAAAAATATATCTGTTTGCAGAAGCTACTAAGGAGCAAAGGGCATCGCTACTAGGAGCAAGGACGCTACCAGGGCTCCTGGCCGTACTACTAGGAGCAATGTTCGCTACTAGTAACAAGAAGAGATGTGACTTTTTGCTTTCGGGCTTTCTTTTGATGGATGTGACGAGCACATGAGTCCGTTGCCTCATCCATGGGTGTCAACTTGTTCTCCCACGGGTCGAGGAGGGCATCTGCGCGAACCTCCCAGGTGCGGTCGAACGTCACCAGGCTGAAAGAGCTGGAAATCGATTGAAGCATGTGTTGTTTCTCCAGAATATGATATATTTATATACCAATAGATTTAGGAATCGTAGAAAAAAATATATCGGGATGTCCTAACTCTATTGAAACTGACTTCCACACCACATGTCAGAACAGTATACTGGACTGTATATGCTGAGAAGGCTGTATACTAGACAAGTTCTTTGGTCATGCATGCATTTTAGATCCAAGCATTTCCAATCGTCACATCAGCTGTCACCACCAAAGAGTTTGGTCGAAGCTCTCCGGCCAACGCGACGCGTTCGCCACCTTCTGCTCAGTGAAGTGCTCCGCATTGGGGCCACGGTCCTGGGATAGGCTTACTGGAGGAAGTTGAGCCTAAAGTGCCTCGCTACGAACGTAACAAGGGCATCGCTACTACTAGTAGCTTCTTGCTACTAGTAGCGATGCACTTGTTGCTAGTAGCGATGCACTTGCTACTAGTAGCAATGCACTTGTTGCTGGTAGAGATGCACTTTCAGCCTAAAAGCCGGTTGCTCCAAACATGGACCTTCACCTGGGAAAGGTCCGTGACCAGCGAGTCAGCGTCGTGACGTCGTCGGCACTGCATCGGTGTGGCCCGAGCGCTCGCTGTCGCTCGGTCCCGACAATGGGGTTCTTCGCTGCAACCAAAGAGGCGCGCTTGCACCTCGCCGGGCTCTAGTGAACATCATGGGCTCCCTTCGCTGCACAGAGCCAGCGAACATCCATGGTTGCAGTGCTTACTTTCAACCGGCTTGCAAATCCTTGTGATCACAAATATCGCACGATTTTTCACACGGAGATCTTTCTCTGCTCACGCATGGGCAGACGGTGTAGATGTCCACGAAGACGAAGAGCCGTGCCATGGCGCCGTGGCGCCGTGGCGTCGATCGGCCATGCACCACATGTCGACCAAGACATCGGTCGGTCTTCCACATCTATCCTCGGTTCAAAGAGCCATTAAAAAAAAAAAAACTCAAAAACATTCAAAAACAGTGTAATTGTCAATAGCTCAAAACAAACAAACAAACAAACAGGTGTCATCCCCAACACCAATGTGTTGTACCATGGTTGGAAAAGTTGATGTCCCTCCATTCCTGTCGATTGGCCGTTTTGTGAGAATCACCGAGCCACGTGTTGGGGAAACCCAGGTTAGAAGTCCACCGAGCAAAGCTCAACACCTAGGAGCAAGGACGCTACTAGGAGCAAAGGGCATCGCTACTAGGAACAAGAACGCTACTAGGGGCTTACTACTAGGAGCAAGGACGCTACTAGGGGCTCCTAGCAGACTGCAGGGTGGAGCCCCTCCACATTCGTGAAGGCCAAGACCATCATTCGTAACTAAGAAAAACGACTGGCTTGCAGCAAGCTTGCACCGAAAAACCTTGGTTCCGCTTGAACAAGTGGCCAAACATCGAAATCCCCTTGGCATAACAAGTGGCTTCAAGCCTTGCGTTTCCCGTTTTTTTCGGTCATCCGAAACTCTGAATAATGTCTAATCAGATAGAACCCCATGCAAGTGTTCAAAACAAAACTGTGTGGGGCGACTGTACAGCTACAGTCTCGTTTCATTACTACTGTCTCGTTTCAGTAATATTGCTCTACCAAGCTTGTTGTGTTAGGTTTTTGCGGCTACTTGCTGGCTGATGCCACTTGTTTGCTGCTCCGTTTGTTGTTTGCTATCCTTTGTTGGTGTTTACTTTACTTTGCTGTCACGTGACAAGGGATGTTGCGGGGGAAGTACACAGTGCTCCACAGTGCTCGGACAGTGCTCTGGCAGTGCTCAAAACAGTGCTCGGAAGTCAAAAACATGGAAAATACCAGCGATTCCGGCAGTAGCAGCGCAAAACGATAGAAATTTAGAATTCTAGGCTGTTTATTGATTCCTTTCCCACTCCTGTGACCATACCCACAGTATTTACAGGGGTTTGGTGCGCGGGCACTGTCTGGAGCACTGTTGGAGCACTGTCCGGGCACTGTGGAGCACTGTGTTGCCATGTAGTCCCCGGCTGCGTTGTGTGATGGTCGCTCCAGGTCATGATGGCGCTCTACTCTGTTTGCTGTCCCCCACCTCTTGTGTCCTTCTTTGGCTCTTGTTACTGACGCTGCAACTCTTCTTCTATAACCGCTGTTTGCTTGGCGCAACCCTGTGTCGGGTACTGTTGATGGACAAAATCCTGCACCACCTCACCACTTTACCCTGGAAGGGTCGCATAGCAACCTCCGTGCCCCCTCATTCAATGTTGGCGCGACCCCTCTGAGGAGGTGGTGCAGGATTTTGGACCTTCAACGTGTTTTTGTTTTCTCACTCTGGTGGCCCCAATGTTAACGAGGGAGAACGAGGGCAGCAAGAAAAGTGTGCGCAAAGTGGTGCAGGATTTTGTCCATCAACAGTACAGCTAGCACGGCTATTCCTCAACCCACAGCGCCTCGCCCGGCCAGCACCACCAGCGTGCGACCTGTCACATTCTCCGTGCCCGTCACAGACACCATGGTCTCCGGCCTCGGGTAATGGCGTGGTCGAACGAAAGCCACGCTCACCGCGCTTGGCCTGGTCCTGGTTTGGTAGTCGCTCACCATAGTGTTTGGGCACACACCCTAGTCGCAACATCGCCTCAACCAACAAGGGGAGGAAAGGAAACTGACCTGGGTGTCCTACTTTATTCTTTGTGAGCTTTTCCTTGCAAAGGAATTGTCTGCTCGGTGGCCTCATGGACTTCATGAACTACTGCGTGTCACCTGCCCGTGAACTCTCTGAGTTCCAAATGATGACCTGACCAATCGAGTCAGAAACGCCAATTGAGTCGATTTTGGTTGCTAGTAGTTTCTTGTTACTAGTAGTATCTAGTAGTAATGCCAGGAGCTACGTTCGTAGCTTCTTGCTCCGTTCGTAGCGATGCCCTTGGTTACTAGTAGCTTCTTGTCCTATAGTGCTACAATGTGCTATATCACTCAAGCCACTCAAGCTTCCTCCAATCCCAGTGACCACGAAACATGATCCCCGAACACAAAAAAGGGAAACATTAAAAAATATGGAAAAAAATGAAAAAAACGCTTCCACTGGCACCAATGATCGTTGCTCCAGTTGCACAAACTTCAGAGAGATTTGATTCGTTTCGTCTTTTCATGTCTTTTCTCTCTTCCCCATTCAGAATGCAGCTGTGCACCTTCCCCATCTTCCACAGCTCCAAGCAGCTCAGTGCAACAGGTGACCCATTCGGCCTTCAGTTGATCTTCGTTCCAGAGCCGCAGCCGTCGGTCGAGACCCAAGGTGAGTGGAAACGACTCCGCCCAGCAGACCGAGCGCACTGCGCTGAAGTGAGCCTGCGCGGAGTACATCCGCGGAGGACCGGGGCCATAGCAACCATGGTGAAGGAGTGACTTAGACTGGAGAAACGTGAGGAAAGCTATCCTTTTGTCGCAAGTAGACGCTACAGCTTGCCAATATTATCATAATCTATAATTATATACGCATGCCGTATGACTGTTACCAAGACCAATGTTACCACACCCTGTGGGGCGCAGCCTCGATCAATCTACTGCTCGCAAGTTGCAGCTCGCCATCCAAGGTAAAATGACACAAGCCCATCCGGTGGTCATCTCCAGCAGTGAGCACCGCAAGGACCTCTTGAGAATCCAAGGTCTTCAATGCTAAATCATTGACGCCTGCATCATGCAGCTGGAGATCCAGGCACGGCCCACAAGACCCAGCAAGTTTGCAGGCAGCCAACTTGCCATCGGCTGAACCAACAAAAACTCCCCAGTCTGGGTCTTGAAAGCCTTCCATGCACAAGGCAGTGGTGTTGGAGACCTGTTGTCGTTGTAGAAATTCAACAGTCACATCATTGCACTCCAGACATGATTTCAATTGCAAGCGCCAGCTTCTTAAGTAGCCACTGGATGAGGCTGCAGCCAGTAGGACAGTGTCTTCTGACTCCTTCATTGTGCTCACGGCCATGACCCTTTCCTCCAGCCGTGCCAAAACCTCATCCACTTTCTCTTCCTCCGACTCATCCCTCTCTTCAATGATCGGATCCACCTTCCCCAACGACGTGGACCAAATGCAGCTCAGTGGATCCGAACCATCCGAACTCCTCCGATGGGCCCTCAACTCCCCCTTGGCCCCGCCGGACAGAAGAATCACGTCCCGCCGGTCTAACGCACGGTCTAACACACAACTGCTCAGCGCCCGCACCGAACCGGGGAAGCGTACCGTCCCGGTCTCTGGACACAGAAATGGTCCCGGTGGACCACCACACTGTAACAAGCGTAGGCTGGTGTCTTCAGAGGCTGTTGCCAAAAGGCCATGGTGTTTCGAAGAAGGCATTTGAAGCCAACAGATTTGATGAATCTCACGACCATGCAAAGGCCTCCGCAGGCCTTGGGCAGCAGTTGATCTGCGCGTTGCTTCATCACTGAAAGTCGTATGGATTTCCAGTACTTTGGAACCTGCTGAGAACATGAAGGTAAAGCATCGTTCGTCTGCCATTAGCCCATTGGGTCGCTTGGCACCGCCACACCGTGTTCGCCAGATTTCCAAGCCTGCGAGCGAGTCCCACAGAACAAAGTCGGCACTCTGAAATGCCCCGATGAAGAGTGGCGGCACGGACGCTTCACTCTGATCCATGGGCACGAGATGAGACAAGTGCTTCAAGCCGCATCCCGGACGATGGACGGCGACCTGGGTCCAGGTCTCTGCTTGGTCCGCCAGGTCTCTGCGATGGCGTACGATGGCACCATCGGCTCCCGAGGACAAAAAGTCCCCACCACACGGAGCTAAGCTCAAGACTTTCCCCTCATGCACCGCACGGAACTGATCTGGGCGGATCAAATGGACCAAGTGCAAGATGCCATGCTCATCACCCAGGAGCCACGCAAGATCTGATTCCGTATTGAATGGATCTGAAAGGAGCAAAGCACAGAGAAGACGTTGATTCTTTTCACCCTTCTTAGGCGTTGCGATCTGCTTCTGAGCTAACCTGTCCGGAGCAGCTGACCCTGGCAGATCCCGAAACACTTGAACCCTTCCTGCATGATCGCAGAAGAGCCCATGACCATCGCAGGCCCCGAACGAGGCGCTGACGCGACATTGGCGAAAGACCTCCACCACTTTGGACACCGCACGGAGGCCTCCTTCAGCGCCGGAGTCGATCTGCAGCAAAATCCCACGTCCATCAGCACAACCAATCCACAGGGCAGCACCAGAGTTGCCCACTCCCATGGAGGTAAAACAGGCTCCAGCTTCCTCAAACAGCAGATTACAGACAACATCTTCTTCTCCCACCTCCGGCGCTCCAGACACCTGCAGCTTGTAGACTCTTCCGAAGTTCGTAGCTACCAAGGCTTCTTGGTGAGAAAGCACAAGCACTTCACGGATCCAATCCTGCGATAACTTCAAACCACTTTGGGGGACCTCTTCGGGTTTCATACGGCCCCTTCAAGCGAGACTCAAGATCCAGCACATCAAAGCTCTTCTGCCCTTCTAGCACTTCTTACTAATGAGACTTTTGGCTGTCTGGGCCACATTCCTCAATAATTCATCCGTCTCCTTCTCTACCCGAAAGATCCCAGAAACCCAAAAAGGTCAGCCAATATTGAAGACTGCAATCCATGCAAAACGAAAACCATTCTCAGTCCCAGAATCACTGGATTCAGGCACTTGCCAGGTTCTTAGCCTTACACGGCCCTGCTCAGCACATCCTACATCTGCCAGTGGCCAAAGCTTCACTGCACCATCTTCACCTCCGCTGATCACTGCTCCAGCCTCACCATGCCAAGTGGAAGGATCTTGCAAGACCTAAGGGCCAAATGATCGGATTCTGGCACCTGTTGATTGAACACATGTCAACTCAGCTAGGCCCAAAAACCACCCCCGAGAAACATCACCCGTTTCGTCCCCCCGCACCTCTAAGCATCGCACGCCTCGCGTTTGGTGCCCCTGCAATTCTCTCAGCAGCTGTCCCTGCAGCGAAAAGACCCGGAGGATCGAATCCTCCGAGGCCGAGACGATGCCCAGGCGGGACAGACGTCCCGATGCCAGGGGCACCAGCAGGGCATCCCAGACCCTGGATCCATGACCTCGGCAAGTGGACACACAGGACCATCTCGTTGTGTCCGGAGTGGGAGGCCGTTCCAACTCCTCTGTCTCATAGATGGGGGAGCTGTCCAAAGACCACAAGCGGACGCTCCGATCGTCCGAGGCGGTGACTAAGGTGGTGCCATGGAAGAACAGCCGAAGTTGAAAAATGGCACCTTGGTGTCCCATGAGTTGTTGGGACCTGGGCGCGGTCGGCGAGACCTCGCCGCGGCCGCATTGTAGCGAATCAGAGAGGTGCCACAGCACCACGAAGCCATCAAAAGTGCCAGCAGCACAAAGAAAGTCACCGTGTCCGACGCTTTGTAGCGAGGCAGAATAGAGAAAAGAGACCTCTCAGCGAATGAATATGTGAAGCTTCAAGAATACTGGCTGTGAGGATGTACCCCCAAGATTGTGAAGATCACCTTTCAAGACCGGCCCCTAGAAAGTTCACGCATAAGATTTGCATAAATGATCATAAGATATAAGATGTGCATTCAAGATAACCATAGACATGGACCCTTCAATGCTGCCAGCTACCTCCGAAGGCCCCAAGAGCCGTGCTTCACGAACGAGAGCTGGGGTGATCTGCCAGATTTCCAGAAAGTTACGGCCGTAAGCGACCAACAAGGCCTCTGGTTGTGCCTTTCGTGCTGACTGCTGCGCCGCTTCTGACTCTGACTGCCGCATCCACGCCACATCCAAGGGCCAATCTGGTAGCCGCGCCTGCTGATGAGCCTGCAAATGCAGCTCACCAGGCCTTGTAGACACCTCACAGGGGCATAGGCTGAAAGGAACAGAAGACTCTGGATCAAAAAACGTTTGAAAAGCTGGGCAGAAGTGGGACAGAAAACGCTCGGAACATTGGTTTGCCTACTTGGTTGAACATTGTTGCTTGCCACAACTACTCCGATGATAAGCTATACAAGATACGTATGAAGAAAGATCAATATCATCTGTTGCCCTGCAGCCCATGGGTGTCTCAGTTTCCCATTCCCCACCCCACCAGCATGGTTACATAAATCTCATTCCTTCAAAGACTCCAGTGCTGTGGCTTAGCATGGTTAAGCCGCATACGCCCCGTTCAGCATCGAGGAACAGCTCCAAAAACCATCTACGCCTGGGGTTAGGTCATTGAAAACGTTGGAGCTCCCGGACTAACCGCCCATCACCAGCCCCTCAGCCCCTCTCCTCGCACAGTGCCAGTCCATGTGGACCAAAGGCGGCTACCCGTCGGGACTTGGTGGACTCCGTCAGGGGACCCTCACAGACCACGCCGTGGAGCTGAGTGCTGCCCAGCAGAAGCCGCAAAGGTGCCTGTGAAACCACACGGCTCCGGGCCACACGGTGGGCCACGGTGATCGGGTCAGAAAAAGCAAGCCATCTGTGAAAAAACGGGCATTGACGAAAGCATTCGTAGTCAATGCCCTTGCTGCTAACATCTCCTAACTAAGTCCTGTTCATTCATTGTTCATTGAAACTCAGGTCCAGACTGGAGCCGGGTAGAGATCGCCTAGATGGCATTAAGAGCAGAGCGGAGTGAAGAAAGAAGTCCATTGTTGATTTGGAACCGATCAACGACTTCCCAAAAAACAAAAGTAGAAGCGCAAAACGACCACATGTCAACTCCCCAGAAGCACAAAGAAAGGTCTGTCGCCGGCCTCCAGCACCCAAAGGAAGCCTGGCCACTCAAACTCTAAGGCAAAGAACTTGGAGATGGATAGGTGCCGCTAGTCTACAATTGAGCTCACATTCCTCGACATCGGCATCAAGAAAAAGGTTGGCTCTACCGGCTATACCGTCCCATGTTTCGGGCAAACCAAATCCCGTTTCGACCTCAACAGTTCACCCACGAGTCGAGAACGGATCGATCTTCGGGTTGGCGCATCTGCCCAACGCGTGCCAGAGAGGCGCATGCAGATCTGGACCTCACATTGAGGTAGCCGCGCGGCCCCCATTTCGCTGCTTGGTGAAGCGGGAAAAACGCGATGCTCGAGCGGGTTGGCCCGTGCCAGCCAAAGAACGACACTTACTATTCTTAATATATGTGATACAAACAAGTCAAGAATACACTCACTAGTCACTAGACCCCTGACTTCAAGAATCCACTCTGACCAAGCCTTGTCTGGACCTTTCCCTTGTCCTCGCACTTTCGTCGTTCGCGAAGCTGTTCCTCGGGAGCTCAGCTGAGTTTCGGGCCAACTCCAACCAAGAGCAGCTGGAAGGGGGTCTCTGCTGCAACCTGGTGGACTCGGCTCTCGAAAACCGAGCAGTGACCCGTTCACAACTCGCCACTGAGCAACCGGAACAAAAACGCCCTTCACCTCTTGGCCAAAACAAAAAAGAACGGTCCTGAAATCTCTGAGGAGCCGACTTCAATGGAGCATGCTGTGAGCACGGGACCTTTAACTGACCATGAAGCGACAAATGGCAAGGACTTCAACAGGAGTGACTTTGACAGGCTGCGTGGGGCTTTAAGGGTCAGTGATGGTGCACAAGCAACATGCCTCGAGGACCTCTCCCATCAAGCAACTAGTGCCTGCATCTGGTTTCCTACTTCGGAAGGAATGGAGTTTATGCTCCATGACTCATGACATGGTATTTCAATCATACCTGTGGTCTATTGCGGGTTGAATTTGCTAGTGTTATTTGTCTGTGCTATTTAAAAAAAGAATACTTGAAATGCTTTCAGGTGTGGAAACCCGACCACATCGCTTTCTGTCTACGACCACATCGCTTTCTGTCTACCCCACAACATGTGTTGCACAAGAAGCTTGTAGGATGCTACAGGGGTTGTCAGGTTTCTCATGTGCTAACCCCCTCAGGAGGCACAACTTTCTTCACTCCATGGTTTATACACACATAACATAACATGACATAAACACTCCATTACATTACTTTGCATTACATTACATTACATACATGGCTGGGAGCCCCATGTCCGGTGTGGGCAGGATACTGCCGCTCAAACCAAACACACAAACCATCAAGAGAGCGTACCTCTGTTTTAACTTCACTCCTGACACAACTCCTGGCCCGGCCATGCTCAACACATGAGAATAAAACATCCCGCCTAGATAATCATGGCTGGCTATGGCCATCACTCGTTGAGCTTAACATGGTCCATATGAGCCAAAACATCGACTGCGGTTCTACGCTGAGCAAGGCGCCGGATGAGCCGGGCCCAAGCATCGAGAGACAAAGCAAACGTATGGATCCATGTGGGTTTGATGATTTAGAAAAGCCTTATTCTACCTACCAAGGTGCTTACACCATCTACTTTCATCTCCTGTTTTTACCTTGACTGTCTTGATGATGCTGTTTAGGCTAGTACAAATGTGTCTTCGGTAATTCAGATTCCTTCGAATCTCAGGCATCAATCGAAACGAAAGGGACGGATGTAATCAAATGATAGTAAACGAAACTCTCCACCAGTTCCCTCGGACCGAGGAAAATAAACGAAACCCTCCAGTTGACTCCAGACATCTCCAGACTCTTTGATCCCAAACCCATCATCCAGGTGAAACCACACGCAAGGTGCGCGACTCACCGTTCCCAGAGATGCCCTCTGGGCTGAAACTCACCAAAATAGAAGCGTTCAGCATTGTCCTGCATGATGATCTCGGCGCGCGCTCGGTAACCTTTGCGTCGAAGAACACCATTTTGGGGCATGGAAAAGTATAGGATAAAGGGAGTGTGGTGGAGTCAGGACAAATGGGTCCGTCTCTCTTTGTGGCTGCTCTCCTCGCTCTCACACACAAACACACACACACACACACGCATAATGGACTTTCGGCCATGCATGCGCAAGAGAGGAACCAAGTTCTACATAAGCCTTGCATAATTGTGTATATGTTATGTTATGTTATGTTATGTTATGTTATATTATACTATACTATACTATACTATACATATATATATATACGGTTTTGGGATTTTGATATTTGATAATTGATTTTCCTTTGATGATGATGATGATGATGATGATGATGGTGATGGTGATGGTGATGATGATGATGATGATTTTGTTGGACTGTCTGACCTACCACAAATGAAACTTCACAATGCTTTGCCACAAATCTTACAAAAAATATGCTCCAGGTAGTCTTCCCAATGTCCAACAACTCTTGTTGTTCAACGTAAAATGGCGTTGCCTAGAAACTGGTGGTACCCCGTTTCCACCCGGTTGTACAGGACACCTGATCAATAAAACATGCTACAGGTCCCTGTCGGTCGATCATCGATTTAAAGATCTTCCTAAAAAACGGTGAATGTCGTCTTTGGGACTCAAGAGCACCCAAGTTGCGTTCCAAGAGCGTGGTATTCTTCAGGAGTCCCTTCTCTTGAATCGAGAAGGTCCAATGTGCGATGATGGCACTGCCAAGTGCGCCTGTCAGGTCAAAGCTTGTTTCGTGCACAAAAAGAAAGAGAGAGAGAGAGAGATGTTGAGAGATTGAGAGATTGAGATCGACGGAATCTCAAGTGCAGTAAGGAAGCCCATCATCTTTTTGATCCCCCTGCCTGCTTGCTTTGACATCAACTGTTCCAGAAAGTACACTGTTTGTGATTACTAAAATAAAACAAAGCGAGTCTTCTTGCAAGTATAGCTGGAAGAGCTTCAAAGCAGCATTCAAGAAAGGAAACCAGTGACCCTCCTGCGTGCTCTCCCCGCTGCTTGGGATGCAATGTGCTCATCTGACGTTCATCATCAGTAGCAACACCAACCTTGGGGCATCCGGGGCCCCTGGTCCTGGTGGCCTGTAGCTGTGGTCCACAGAGATGACTGTGGTTCCAAAGGGCCTAAATTCACTTTGGCAAAGCATGGCCCTCCTGGTTCTCATGATTCTACTGCATCCAAATGTGGATGTGAACTGATCTCGCTAATGTGTGCTTTTCCGGAGCTTGAACCCCTGACTCAAAGAAAAGTACAGTAGTACCTCCCCCTCAAGCCACAATCTTTTGAACAATGTTCCCGTTCCCGGCTCATGGGGCAGCTACATGCCACTAAGCCCACCAAACACGTTGCCTCATCGTCCATCCAAGTTGCCCAATCAATGTCGTCGAAATCCTCATGTTGAAAAGCGAAGAAGTTGTCGTTCCAGTCAATCGAGCGCCCAAGTCCATCGCTCATCGTCTCATAGCCATGCCTGCTTGGGGCGATGGCAGAGGGAGAAGAGCGCGACGTCGGCATCGGCATCGGCATCGGTCTAGCAGGGTAAAAGAACAGAAACGCCTTGAGAGAACTCATGCGGCTGATCAGACCGATCAGATCCGATCAGACTGATCGTTCAGAAAAGACTGTGTGAAAAACACCGTACTGTAACTTGCTCCATGTGCACTGAGGCCTCTTTGTAACCAAATAATTAGGGTGTTTGATGAGGTTCGGTTCCCCATGCCAAATGCATTGGCTGGTTCCAGCATGTTCCAGCTACCCTCCAAGTCACGCGTGAAAGTCGAAAATTCCAAAATCGAAGAGGCAGGAGGAGTTCCTGGGATCTCGAATCTTTCTATCCAAAGCGTCAAAGATTAGCGGGTAGTCACTACCCTGCAAATAGCTGAAGTCGAAGCAAACGGCTGGAAGAAAGTCGTTGAAATCTACTGGGCTCTCATCAATATTTTACTGCAAAGGAGCAATCATCTTCACAAGCAGTTTGTCTTTTGCTGCAGTCCAAGCTCTGTTCTAGTCGCCAGAGAAGTGCCTCGTGTACCAGGGCAGCACAATCCCAGCGCCTGCGTCGCAGTGCTGGATGCCACATCTAGATCACTCAAGCAGTGTCCTCATTCTTCAGGAGTGTCAAATACTGTTGTATCAAGTTGTATTTAATACTGACAAAGTATCCGTATATCAGTTGCCCCATCAAATCCGGTCCAAACAAAAACAAAAGAGCTTGTCATTTTGATCGACCACATCCACTGAACCATCTAAACCGCAGCCTCCAAACACAGTCGGAGTAGAAGGTATGCTCAATGCGGTAGCGCGGATCCACCATGACCTCACCCTTGTACTGCCACGGCCCGAGCTTCTGCTCCTCAGACCCGGTCAGACCCAGCGACGCAATGCGACGCACGCGGGGGGGTTCGGTAGGCGGGGAAAGTTCCCGATGCTCCCTGGAACTCACAAGAAAGCTCCGCAACCTTCCGCGATCAACAGCTCGACCAAGACACTTCCAGCGTTTGCCCCACTTCCATCGGCGGCTTCTCCAGGTGTGGGATGGAGGACATCTCTTGATGCACTGCCGAGAGGATCCCATGATTCACCACCTCAGCTGACTGCTTGGACTGCTCCACATCAACGACCTCATCAACGATTCCAAACACATCGCAGCGCTTCTGCAGCGCTTCCGCAACGTCGTGCCGTGGGCGCAACGGGGGCCACCGGAGTGGACCCTTCAAACGTGCGGACGTCTGAGGCACCGTTTTGCGGACGTCTTACATGTCAACATCCCTTTGAACAAACAGCTTTGGCAGAGGTCACCCGAAATCGGGTTCGTGGGCCAAGGAACATTGGCAGACACGAACAGGAAGCGCCCACGACGCTTCTCACGGATCATGTCTGGAATGGCGCCATCCGCGATGAAGACCACCTGGTGAGTCATGGTGAGCTGGTTAGAAGCAAACAAAGGTGAGCTGGTTGAGAGCTCATGCCAAGCGAGTTGGACTCATGGCTTCACCCGGCAGGAACGGGGTCCTTTTTCCTCCCCAGTCACCCTCTCCATGTTTGCAGAGGAACGTCATCATCGATTTTGATGTAATAAGCTCCAGGTTCATCGGCTAATCGCCAAATGACCTTGGCACCACTGACCCAGCTCCCGGACCAGTCAGGTCGTCTCACAACTGGCTAGAGCTTTGCCGAACAAGGCGCATCCCAGGCACCACCTTCCATGTGCCAAGGGATAATATAGCTCTTAGGGTTTCGGCCTTAATCAAGCAGAGGAGCTGCTGTCAACCCCCTGGCCAGCAAGCGTGCATGTCTTGGACCACGAAATCTATGCAGCCACGGACACATCCCACGAACTGTCTTCGACAAATGTACTCTGACGACATCAGACGAGTCTGAGCTCCCTGCGCTGCAGCATGATCAAATAGTTCATGTCCTGAAGGTTCCCAGATGCAAACGGACGGGATGCTAGTTCCAATTCTCCGAAACACTGGATGGTGCTACAGTTGCTGAAGACTAACAGGCAAAACCGCTGCAAGTACCTTCTTTTCATGAATGAACCGATACGTGTCCTTTTCATGCAACAATGGAACGTCTTTGACTATGGCAGTGGCGTTCCTCCATGGTGTACTTCACCATGGCAAAAATCACACCATCCAGCACTCCCCCGTTGGTGCGGAGGTTTCGCTCGAGGTAAGCGTTGAGGATATCCACATAGGATCTCCTCCCATAATAAACCAACGCATAGATTTTCACCTCGGTGGAAAACATACCAGAATGCTCGAGTCTACCCGCCAACTCGTATGATCTTCCGGTTTCTTAAAGGTCATGGGTCGGTGTTGAAGCGGCAGGGCAGGACGCCTTGGAATCCTTTTGAACTGGTGGATCACCAGGATGACTGCTGTGTGCAAAGAATGCAACCAAGCATCATCCTTCAAGTCTTCATACGGGTCATCTACTGTGATGCACGAAGGCCTCCACAGCTGTTTTCCATGCCCAGTTGACAGGTCACCGCTCCAGGCCATCCAGTCCATGCATTGGAATTGTGGTCAAAAGCGCTGACCCAAAATCAAAAGAGTTTCATCGAAAAACTGTTTAAACAAATACTAAACTGGTCACTGCTGGTCCCGTTTCTGCATCACCGCCTCAGTCTTAGGCCAGAAAGAGAGATCCTTTCCAGCAGCCATATGGTGCTTACATGAATCAAGAGTCCACTACCATTGTTGCTTTGTTGCTTTACCCTGAACTCCCTGACACGCAGCCTTAAAGGGTCCTCGGTGGACACGCGGCGCGTCACTGGAATGCTTCCGGTTAGGAGGCCGGACACGCAAAGACCTCAGGATGCCCAAAACCGAAAATGGTCATCGTCGTCACTGCTGCTGATGGTGAATTGCTGAAGCGGGAAGCAGAAAGGATAGTTAATAGGCTGGTTGATTCATCTTTGCATCAAATGGAGTTGCGCCTAGCCCTATCAATTCTCATTAGAGGTGGGACGTCCAGAAACCAGCCCCTAGCAAGCCCTGACAGCGCTTAAACTTCGCATCCTCAAATCACATACGCCTACGCCCCAGCTCTCCGCTGAGCTGCACAGCGCAAGGTGGCGGCTCATGGAGAAAACCGGCCGCCAGGGTCATGACATGGCGCAAAGAAATGGTGTGTTTTCCCGCCAAGGTCATGAATGCTGGGAGATGGGTCCTTCCAAGGTCTTCAAGGGTTTGACATGTTTGGACTAGTTTAGGCCACAAGGAAGAGCTTTTCATTGTTGGCTGAAAAGGGCGGAAGTGAGATCTCCCAATGCCGGTGCCAAATGAAACTGGCAAGCGACAAAGTGAGGTTTTGGCATGGTGCGGTCGGCTGTTGTCGTAACTGCTCTTTGCACCCTCTTTTTTGTTTCTCTCTGCCTTTCAACCTCAAAAGGGAACGAAAGCTGAGCCGGAAGGCTGAAAAGAAGAGCCCGCAGTCAAGCGCCCTCTGAGCGACCCCAAAGCTTCAAAATGACGCCGGCATAGACCAAAACGGAATACAGGGTCACACTGGCACCCAGTCATTGAGAAGTAAGAACCCCAGCATCCTATAGCCATCGCTCTCTGGAATAAACAATGAAACCATCGCTGCGCATCGCGCCTGTCGCGAGTCGTGCGTGGTCTCCCAAGTCATGTTGGCACATGGAGTGAAGACGTCCCACCTCGCGGCCGCGAGTTCGAGACGCAAAACTCGCTGCGCCCAACTTGACGCCTCCTACCAGTACCCACTAATCAGAAAATGTATAACCAAAACCAGCATGGAACACATATGGAAAGGATCAGCTAACCTCAAAGCGTGGCAAAGGCCTTCTGTTTCGATACCCAAAAAATCCAAAAAGCGTACCTTCGAAGCACTTCGAGTCGCGTCGCTCTCCTTCCTCGAAAAAGTAAAAAAGAGAACGTCGAGGCGTCCAGGCTGCCCAGCCCATGAGAGTGCAAACGCACATTCTCGCAGGTGAGCTGCCCATGAAAGTGCAACGAGTTCCTCGGGGGCCGCGTGGCGCGGTGGCCGCGCGAGGACGGTGTGGGACGGGCGAAGGCCGTCCCAATGGCTGTCTGTCCTGAAGTGCCAGGGCGATCATGGGATGGTCTAGTGACACAGTGAGGCGAGCGAGTTCCTCGCAAGGTCTGCGAAAGTCCAGTTCCCCTGTCATCCTTGTGACGGTTCTATGGACCTCCTATCTAGGCCTCTAGGCGATTCCATTCGGTGAGCCAATCAGTGTCTGTGCAGGAGAGAATGCATTACAGTAATCAGATGTCGGAAGGAAGGTGGGGTGGAAGAAACTGCAACAGAAACATCAAAGCATAGTCGTCTCATTGAACCTTCTCAAAAAAATAAAGAGCAACTCGAAACTTGAAAACTAGCAGCTGTTGGAAACAGAGACGAAGCAAAGTCGTCTTCAACAGGGAAACAGAACGAAGCGGAACGAATGGCCGCCCCGGTCGGGTCGGGTTCTCCAACCGAACTTCGGCTCACGCGTGTGCGTTGCAGACCAGTTTCAAGCATGGGTCAGCAGGGACCTGGCGCATGGGTCGGAGAGGAGCAGAATTTGAAGGCGAATGTCAGGAACTATCAGAGTGTATTGAGGAGAAAGTGGTCTGCGACCTGAGAAAGCAATGATTCCATATCATCTCTATTCGGCGATATACTCTTGTCTCTAGTACTATGATGTTGAAAGGCATTGTGCCACTACTGCTGAACAAGCGAGTCAATCCCCCGACAGTCACCCTCAAACGAGAGACACTGGCAAACACAGCGACGATTCTCCACTCATGTCAGAGATGGACATCAGCCACCCATCTATTAAGACATCTGGTCCACAGAGGGGGAGCTGTACATATGACATATGATCTTCTCCCCCGCCTCACCTTCTGAAGAGTTGAAGTTGTGTTTGGTAGGTCAAGTGGATTCTGCAAAAACCCACTCACTCCGACCTGGAACGGCCCACCTGGAACCCCGCCCCACAAGTAGCCTCCGTGAGGATGTCACAGGTCGAAAAGGCGTTGTGCGGAGTGAAGAAGGCCACCTGGGGTGGCTTGTAGAGTGGCCCCCCCGTAATCCGGTAGGAGACCCATGGAGACCCGTCTTGTATCATCTTGTGTAGAAACATGAACAAAACTCTGCAACAAACGAGGCAAGCAAGATACCCAACTTCATCATTTATACCGGGTAGATTGGGAGATGTTGATCTTGGTGGTGTGTGTGTGTGTGTGTGTTTTCTTGTGCTGTACTTTCATGTTGCTTTTCTTTGGCTTTTGTGTGACACTCCCTCACATATATGTGGAAGTGGAGAACCCAAAAGGCCTTTATACGTGGAACTCCAAACACACATAGCCACCTTCCATGTTAGGGAACTGAAAAAAGTCAGCAAGTGAGACTAACACAAACCCCACCTGAAATACCTCCCCCACACACTCTTGCAGCACTAACATGGAAGCTCAACAACACATTATATACAATTGTATATATCTATATATTATATACATTAATACACACATGGCTTCCATGTTGGTGAAGTGTCAGCGCACTCTGTACAGTGACAACCTTCAGCATTGATACTCTTCGCTACTACTGTCATCATGCAGCTTTGCACCCAGTCCAGGCAAATGTACAAGTAGTAACATGTATTCCACTAACATGGCAGTGCAAAACATTGCACAGACAGGCTTATCTCAATGTTTCTGCCCAATGTTAGTGTGGTTCTCCTTGAAAGCACATTAATTTATTACACTAACATGGCAGTGCAAACATTGCTAAGCTGGTTGCGTTCAATGTTAGTTATAATTCTGGTGTTTTCTAGGTTCCAGATTTCACTAACATGTATACAAAAAAATGATGCGCGACTTCTACATATAAGAGTGGGAGAGTAATTTGTTGTTTTTGTCCAAACCTTTATGATCCTCTATGTCTCCCATCGCTTTTTCCACGCCGTGGTTTGCTCTAAATTCCAAAACAAAAAGGAGATTTACAGAAAAAAAATTGAAACTTAATCATACCACATCATACCCAAACATGTCAGTTATAACCTACGCTGGTTGGGGGCAAGACTGTGATGAAGATCATAGCTTAGGATGTTCCTGATATGCTGCCCGCATGAATTTGGAGCGGGGCCAGAAACTGTAGCAAGCTGTAGTGGTGCTCCAACATCGTGCTATGCGCTAAGCAGGAAAGAGAACCAGAATCCACCCATCTTGCAGCTAGCATTTGGCTCTGCTAGGCTCTGCTCATGGCTTCATAAATCCATCCATCAATCTTCAGCTCCAGACTGGCGATGGAATACCAAAGCTATGCGAAAACAACCGCCGCTTCCACCTGCCAACGATTTCGTACGCCACATTGAAGGCTGCGAGACTGAGTCTTGGTCGAAGATATGATGCTTCCAAACTTCAACCTCTTTTTTGCTCGTTGGACAATTGAACTAGACTAGACTTCTGTGGTCTGCTCCAGTTTGACACTTAAACTGAGCGTTTTTCGGAAGATCAGCGGCCAGTGGCAAACAAACGAACGCATGTCCTTCCCCTCCCCCCTGAGAAGCATGGAAGTGGACCGTCTAGTAGCCCATGGCCTCCAACCTAATAGCGATGGCCTCCACCTAGTAGCTTCCAGTTATACTAAATGAAACCTTTGCATCTTGTCGCGCGACGGTCGTCGGGTCTTCAAAGTCCCGGTCGCCTGATCCACCCAAAGGTCTTGTCGAAGTCTCCAGCCTGGGCGGCATCTTTTGGAGCCCCCGCCTCGCTTCGCCTCCAGCTTCTTCTCGCCCATCCACTGTGCTCGGAAATCCGGAAGAACACATCACCCCACTAAATCCACCCACTGGGCTGACCGGACTGCCAAAGCTCCAGGCGGCACAGTGCAATTGCCTTCCTGTTTCAGGGCGGGTTCCGGGCCCCGACGCCGTTGGTGTCGATGGCAAGGGACGCCGTTGTCGATGGCATGGTGCTCCAGTGCTCCCCAAAGAAGCGGAATTCGCAGTAGCTCTGGAGCTGGTATCTCTCCGAACTAGCTCTGTGTACAGTTCGATTGAACTGATGTGAATTGCCTGAGTTCTATGCAGATACGGAAGCTTGAACTCATTCTTGGGCACTTCGGTTCTTCCTCCTCTCGGGGTGCTTTGCAGAGTTCCCAACTGCCCGATTCAGTGTGAGATCCCAAAGGGCCCACTTCGATGGCTCTTCGACTCGAGTCCCCGCGAGTCTCGTTGTGCTGGCAAGTCTCGTAGTCAACCAGCTGCGAGATCCATTGCCAAGGCCTTGAGTCGTGTGCCGAAGATATGTCCGTGTTATTTCCCATTTTTTGCATCCAAATGCTAAAGATCGGAATCTGCAAGCACTGTGAAGCTTAGATATAGGGTTACCTATCTTAGCGCTTCCTAGAGCTGGGCCATGAGGTGCATGTATCGATTCACCCAGACTGGTCACTCCTTGTCTCCTTGTCCACAGTCACCTTGGGCCATGACTCATCTTCGTGAGTACGAGACATCCAACTGATCACTGGCTTGAGCTGTGACCTCACTATGGAACACCCTCTTGGTAGTGAAGGCTCAGGGCTCAGGGAGATGATTCTGTTCTGGCCTTCTCCTCAATATCCTCAATTCTATCCTAGTCTTACTTCCAAAAAACCTTGGGCCCTGCTTTTTGCCGCGCGCCGAAGCCGCGCTTTCTGGGTCAATGTCGGTGTCGGGTGTTCTTCGAATCCAAGGCCCCACCAACCTCTGCAGGGAGCCTCGAAGTACAAAGCAAACATACATACCCGCATAGCCGCATAGCAGCTTGTGATTCCCGGCTGCATCTCTTGGCCAAAACCGAACATGACCCACTCCCGGAAGGACTGACGTCCGCACCTACGCAGGGCCACTGCTAGGTCGTTCCGGAGCCACCTAGGTGGGCTGCATCTGTCGCTCAGAACTGTTCGGTGGCAACTGTCTGTAAAAATAAATGCATGTGTTGTACAATCAAGAAATCGGGCAAAAGCCACCATGCTGACTTGGAACAGACCAGACCAAAGGGCTTCGACCGTTGCCACTGTCTTGTCCGGCATTGCCACTGTCAGACGTTCTTCTCCTTCGACCGAGGTCCGCGCTGA